TCTGTGGGGCAGAGAGTCTGTGGGACAGCTAGTCTGTGGGGCAGAGAGTCTGTGGGGCAGAGAGTCTGTGGGGCAGGGAGTCAGTGGGGCAGAGAGTCTGTGGGGCAGGGAGTCTGTGGGGCAGGGAGTCTGTGGGGCAGAGAGTCTCTGGGGCAGGGAGTCAGTGGGGCAGAGAGTCTGTGGGGCAGGGAGTCTGTGGGGCAGAGAGTCTGTGGGGCAGAGAGTCTGTGGGGCAGGGAGTCTGTGGGGCAGGGAGTCTGTGGGGCAGAGAGTCTCTGGGGCAGGGAGTCAGTGGGGCAGAGAGTCTGTGGGGCAGAGAGTCTGTGGGGCAGAGAGTCTGTGGGGCAGAGAGTCTGTGGGGCAGAGAGTCTGTGGGGCAGAGAGTCTCTGGGGTGGGGCTGGAGGGAGGGGGTTGAGGGGGGGGGTTAGGGGGGAGGGGTGCCCATGTCATTAATTGCACCACGACTCATGTCGACCACTTGAAGCCACTGATTCACTCCCTCACTCACTCACCCGTCCCTGTACGTATTTATTAATTATTATTCATTAAGCGCCCATCAAAGCCCTCCCCAGGTAGTGCAGGGGGGGGGGGGCGATGATTCCGAAGCGAGCCTTGTCCGCTGAGAGACGAGAGACGGGGCGACGGCGACGGCGAACAAGCCACAGGAATGTGCCACGCCCGGCCCTTACGCGTGCTGCAATCTCTGGCCTCCGCCTTACCGCGCACACTGCGACTGAAGGCGATGAGGGCACAGCCGCCGCGATTACCCGCTCCGAGATCCGACATGGGCTTCCGTTTGCCTCGTACGAATGCAGCATTCGTACGAGGCCACCGCGCTCACTGCACGCGCAAAGTGATCGTGGTTCTGACCCCCGCCGATTACTACGACGGCGTGCCCTGGGCTCTGCTGTCGGGGTCGTTCATTAGCGAGGGCGCTCTGGGGGGTCGCTCTGCCTGTCGGACGCATCGGAGGAAGCCCCCCCCCCCAGCCAGCCCCCACCGCCCCCACCAGCACCATCAGTAAGACCGTGAAAAAGTTGAACCGCTGTTGAGCGTGACATTGGCCAACGCGGCGGCGTGTAGCGCAGTCTCAGCGACGAGGCCACTCTACGGGACGTCTGGCAAAAAAAAAACAACATTACGAATCAACATTTGTCCGGCACGCGTCGTGACGGGCTCCGCGAGATCCGACACCGCGTGTCCGTCCGGTGCTCGCGGAGCCGCATCGCCTTCCGGTTGCCGAACGGAGACTTTGCCACGAAGTCGCGCTCGCCACACACACAATGTGCTCGCCACACGTGCACCACGACGCCTCGCTGGTCTCGTGCAAGGAGCTATGAACCATCGTCATCGCGCAAACTCCGCTCACCCTTGCAGCAGCGGCGGCGGCAGCGGCGGCTTTTGGCTCAGCCATGGAACGGAACCGGCGGCGGCGGTCACCGCATCGTGCGGCGCTTTCAGACGCGCTGCTGCTGCGGCCGTCTGGAATGCTCTTTCCTTCCGGATATTAGGAAGCCGCTGGGAGCTGTGCACCTTTAAAATCATCATCATCGAGATTAATAATTCATTTCTGTAGAACTGCTTGTTGCTGTGTTTAGTTTGTTGTTGGCCTCCGATTAGCACGGATGGCTACGTACGACGCTAAAGAAGTTCAACATACACACATCATTGTTTTTGTCCATTGTGCTTGAGTGTGCGTGCGTGCTCGCTAACAGAACTTTGCCCAAAGGTATGTTGAGGCTATACGGGGGGGGGGGGGGGGGAATCTTAGTCTTTGTGTGCGTGCGTGCGTGCGTGGCCAACACCGGTGACAATTGTCTGAACCGGTCCTGGGCCTCCCCTAGGTCGACTCGGCCTCAAATGAGTACCTGGCGCGGTGTGTAAACATCGCCACTGGGGAGACAAAGGCGGTCGGGCTATCCACCCCCCCCCCCCTTCCCATCGCGTGCCGTTGCAGCCTCCGCCGTAGGAGCCACTCGTTCACCCCCGACCATCCTGTGTAGGGGGAGGTGGCGGAGGCAGAGGAGGAGGCACCTTCCTGTGTAGGGGGACGTGGCGGGGGGGAGAGGAGGAGGCACCTTCGACTCTGTGTTGTGTCCCTGATTTTCGCGCCTCCGATTAGCGCGTCCGGCGTACGTGCGGCGCGAAAGAAGTTCATCGTACGTGCAACGCGCGCGCACATACGTTGAACGGATTGGGAATGGATCACGTTCCTTACCAAAATATTCATGATTTAACATGTAGACAATATGTAACATTATTTTTTTTAAGTTTTCCTTTCCTATGCTTTGCACTCCTGTCGTGTTTGTTGTTGTAACGTTCTGACCCCATGCCCCTACTGGACATCTGTGATAAAAAGAGCTTCATAGCTCATCGGATTTCACCCGCAGTATAAATATTCTGATTCTGGATCGTCATCATCACTCAGATGCGAATCTCTTAACAGCATTTCGTCATTGCCAAACGCAAACTGCTCATCATCATCATCACCTTGTTTTATATTTACATAGACCGCCTTCGCTCAAGGGGCTTAACACCGTTGTTAAAAGAATAATATGGTGATAACATCGAATGATTTAGATGGCAGGGGTGGCACAGAGGTGGAGGAATGAGTTACAGCAGCGATAGAGAGCTCACCGGACGTCCGTTTAAAAGGAGCTTTATCGCTCTACTTATATTCTTGGTTCTTTCGGTAAAGTCACCACGTAGAAGGGAAACAATAAAATAATAAAAATATAAAACAATACAATTCTCACGACGTTTCGACTGCAACACAAGCAATCATGATCAGGTGTGAAAACCACAGCAAGAAAATTTGAAAAAAGTGGCGGTTTTTTTTTACGTTAGCACCACGGAGAGCGATTTGACAGTTTGTTCAGATGGACGAGTCCATCTATGTTCGAAAAAGAGGAGGGGGGGAGACGAAAAATAATGGCTGCGGTCTGAAAGCCACCGTAAGCGCGAACAATCAATTAAGACCCGAAATGGTTTATCAAATCCTTCCAATGATTGCTAAGCCAGAATCCATCTTCTCGGTTGAAATTGTCTCTGTGTTTGTACACGTGGATAGCCCCATGAACGAATCTCTCACGGTAGCCAGATGGCTTGCAAAGAACCTCTTTTATAGCTCTTCGTATTCCTCCTTCGCCGCGGGAGCGGAGGAAACGTGAACTCGTACAGTGCTGCTGATTACTTGCTGCTGCTGCTGCTGCTGCATCAACATCCCCAGTAGAGTCCTGTGCCGCCTTCCACGGGAAGTGTGGCCATACAATGCCCGCCTCGCCGTCATTAGTGTGGCCCGCACGAGAGAGGCCACGGGTTTCGTAGCGTGGCCAGCCGCGCTACGAAACCCGGCGAGTCGAGGTCGATTCCCGCTCACGGCCACCAACGCCGCTGACGTTTACCTGAACCGGTCCTGGGCCTCTCCTCGGTCGACTCGGCCTCAAATACGTTGCCTGGTGCGGTGTGTAAACATCGCCACTGGGGAGACAAAGGTGGCCGGGAGCGGTGCTGGCCACGCACCCACCTCGCGTGCCGTGCCGGCCTTCGTAGGCGCTCGCTAACAGCACTTGCCGCTACAGTCTGTTGAGGCTATACGGGGGGAGGGGGCGGGGAACGATCTTTGTCTTCGTGGAAGGAAACCACAAAGCCCCGGAGAAAATCCACACGCGAGCCCAGCCAGGCCACGGGCAACCTCCTCCAGTTCTTTTTGCGTTCGTACGAAAGTTTTGGCACTGCATGCGTCGCCCTGATAAGTAACGTTTGAAAACAAGACGTTTCCGCAATTAGCGACAGCAACAATATTTTTTTTTGCTTTTCCCCCCCCCCACGGTGGGAAGTTGCGCGAAGAATGGTGACGGAGACTTCAGTTGCGAGACCAAAGGGGGGGGGCGGGGGGAGCGGGTGGCGGGGGGTAGATTATCGGATTGCCTGCAACAATAATCAATGAGAAAAGGGGTTGTTTTTGGTTTAGGTAGCGTCGATGTGAATGTGCCAATTTTAACAATTGCTGTGGGTTTTCAAAACGTCGTCGCTGGTTTCCTCTCCAACACGCAACCCGTGGTGCTGAACTAGTAACTCATTATCAGAGTTGTCTCTTTTTGTTTGCATTTTGACTGCTTGTGTTGTGGTTATTGCAAACATGATCCCTTGTATGAAGGTGTCAGTTTTGGTGCCAGATAAAAGGGTAAAAACCTATTACTCTATCTTGCTACTGGCAAAGGAGGTCTCATAGTAGTAACTCATTGGCCTCGTTTTGTTCACCTGACAAGCCCTAACCGACTGTCTGCGGCGGGTGGGGCCGGGTTTGACGGCACATTTATATCCACGCGGTTTAACCCAAAGAAACCTCTTGTGGGTAATATTGGTCGTGGAAACCGACTACTTAGATGAAAAATAGTCTCAACACGTTCGTCAATAACAATAACGTGTGTGGCCTTAAATATATAATAGGTGACGTTTCGGGCAAATGGGCCTTCTTCATGGCACATATTTGAATGTGCCGCGGTGACGAGATGTTAACTACCTCGCCCGGTATGCAGGAGGTCGTGAGTTCGATCCACAACCCTGACGCCTGCTGCTGTATATTCGGAGTTTGCACGTTTCTCTCTCTTTCCCCGTGGTCGCGTGGATTTTTCTCCGGGCCTTTAGGTCTTTCCCCGCCACATTTAGAATAAACGTCACGCGTGCGTAGAGTATTTGGCTGCTATAAGTTTCCACGTGATAAGCCCACTTCGTGCGAGCTATCACTTGCGGTGGCCAGGTCGCCGGTGAAAAAAAGAGCTACATCAACTCGGTGGGGCCTTACACCCGGTGAAATAAAAAAAAAAACATCTTCCGGGGCTTTAGTTTAACATGACCGGATGCATTCGAGGAAGCCACTGGGAGCTGCAGAGTTCCAAACGGAGCGAAGAAACGTGTACGGAGATCGCCCGGCCCTCGTGCATTGCACACACACCGTGAGCGGTTCCTGAAACTATTCCGTCGCTGTCCCCTTTAGCCCGCGACCGACCAACAGCAGACTGACGGGGCAGCGGCGAGGCAGAGGTGGGCAAGTTCTCGACCGGTTTCGTCCGCGCTGGGGCTCATCAGTGGACGTGGAGTCTTCCCTTCTTGCAATGCCCCCTCCGGTGGCAATCTGAGGCTAAAGGTAAACAGCTGTTGGTGTTTACGTGGCCATTCACGCGCCGGCTTTTCACGAGCCGCAGTCTAAAGTCTCGCGGCAGTTAAACGACAACGATCCCATCCCGATGGTGTTTTTTTTGGTGGCTTGCTGTGCGTGTGTGTGTCTCTGTGTGTGCAGCGGTCAGCGCTTTGCTGCGCTATGAACCCGGCGACCCGGGTTCGATTCCCACTCACGGCCAACACCCAGTGACGATTTTCTGAACCGGTCATGGGCCTCCCCTAGGTAGACTCAGCCTCCAATGAGTCTAGCTAGGGGCCTCCCCTAGGTAGACTCAGCCTCCATCTCCTAGCCACCGTGATGATGATGAGAGAGAGACACGCAGACTCCAAATACACAGCAGGCAGGCATCAGGGTCGGGATCGAACCCACGACCTCCTGCGTACCAGGCGAGGTAGTTAACATCTCGCCATCTCATTCATGACTTTGCCACGGCAGCTGAGGCTAGGGAAGAAAATGTGCTTGAAGAAATGAATGTAGCGCGAGTGCACGGTCGTGACGCGGGTTACCTTGAGTCGACTAAGATGAGTGAATTTTGCGTTGGCAATTAACAAACATGGCTTCGGTGACTTGGCATCGAAACACGTCTGCAATGCTGCAATGTAAAACTTCCACATTCTTAGGCCCTTCCCTCCGTTTAGCCTCGGGCCACTCGTAACCTCAACGCGGGCCTGGGTGCAACGGTTGCGGTACCCACTGGTGTGGCTTGCAGCCACGGCTTAGAGACCACGTGCTGTGACGCCCGTCGTCGCCTCTCGTGGTGAGCCTTTCCGTGCGAGCTCCCTATCCCGGGCTCGAACCCCGGGTGGCCGCCGACGTGTCCCGGGGTGGTTCGGACGAACCCGCTGCGATTCGGGTGGCGTCTGAGCAACAGCGGTGATGCAAATTGACAAAGCGCGCCTTACGCGCTCGTTGTCGGTGGTGCTACGGCCTGGAAATGTGCAAATAGTTGAGCATAAACCAAGCAGGGGAAGAAGACGTTTGAAAATAACTGAAGAGAGAGAGAGAGACATTTCCAACGGATACGTTTTTCAAGTCGAGATTTGAAGATTTGCGAGTGTGCCGGAAGTCCCCTGACCTCGAAAGGGCCAAATGGGCTCCAGAGTTCAGGGTGCCGCAGATGCAAAGTCGCCGTCACCTCATCACCCCCCCTCCTCCTCCCCCGAGCAGTGTAGAGCCGAGAGACCGTGGGGGACCGTGAGCAGCGCTCAATCTGAGGATCCTCGTGGTCCATGAAGACCACGAGGAGGTCATGGACGGAGGGAGGAGCAAGTCCTTTTAAGAGCTAATTATAGCTCGGTGGACTTTACCTGGTAAAAGAAATAAAATAGTGGGGTAGTCGTGGTGGTGGTGGTGGTGATGATGATGGTGAAACAGCTGGTGGGGTGTACAATATCGTTGTTATTGGCAGCAGCACTGCCCGTGTATAAACTATGGGGGGCTGCTCCCCCAGTTGGACACAGCAAGAACGAGAGGGTGCCTACGGCAATGTCGAGGCATCGTGGCCCCGTGTTAAATACAATTTTTTTTTAATTCCACCTTCTCGCAGAAAGCTATTAAATCTAAACTATAAACTTTTTTTATGCCAGGTAAGACCCCACTGAGCTATTAGCCTCTTTTTCAGAAGCCACCCTTGCTGTTAGAAATGAGAGCTCAAGGAAGTGGCTCATCAGCATGATCATCGTGTGACAAGGCACCGCGACAGCCAAAGACTCTGAACGCGTGGTGACGTTGATTCTAAATGTGGAGGGGAAAAACCGGACGACCCGGAGAAAAATCCACGCGACCACGGGGAGAGAAGAGAGAGAGAGAGAGAGACACGCAAACTCCAAATTATACAGCGGCAGGCGTCAGAGTCGGGATCGAACTCATGACCTCCTGCATTCCAGGCGAGGTAATTAACATCTCACCACGGAGAGAGAGAGAGAGAGAGACCCACGCAAACTCCAAATTATACAGCGGCAGGCGGCAGAGTCGGGATCGAACTCATGACCTCCTGCATTCCAGGCGAGGTAATTAACATCTCACCACGGAGAGAGAGAGAGACACACGCAAACTCCAAATACAGCAGCAGGCGTCAGGGTTGGGATCGAACCCGCGACCTTCCTGCATACCAGGCGAGGTAGTAAACGTCTCCTAGCCGCCGTAACGCAGCCACGCCTCGGGACCCCACGGCCCCATCCTTGCCCGTGGCAATTCATCGGAACCGGTCTTAGAAAGAACAAAAACCGGCCGAACCTGACGGCGCCGGCTCTGTCATGGAACCGTTGACGACGGGGCCCGGTGACGGCCCCGGGGAATGTTGACAGCGTCTGTGGGTGACGCTGGGCTGTAAATCTCGCGAGCGGAGGAGCGAGTCGTGAGTTTCAACGGGTGTCCAGCACTTATTGCATTACCGTGGGGCAATGCAACCTTTAACCCCCCCTCCCCCCTCCTCCCTCCCACATCGTGGCACCGCCTCCCGCCTTTAGCGGTGCCCTCTCGAAGTCACCGCTGTGAGACGGTGGTCGGCCAACAAACCCTCGATCGGCCTTCGCGAGTGGGACCGTTGGAAAGACGCATTGAGACCCGCAGAGATACGCAGAGACCCACGGAGATATGTAGAGACACGTAGAACCCTGCGGTGATACGTAGAGACCCGCGGAGATACGCAGAGACCCACGGAGATACGCAGAGACCCACGGAGATACGTAGAGACACGTAGAGACCCACGGAGATACATAGAGATTCATATAGACCCACGGAGATACGTAGAGACCCACGGAGATACGCAGAGACCCACGGAGATACGTAGAGACCCACGGAGATACGTAGAGACCCACGGAGAAACGTAGAGACACGTAGAGACCCACGGAGATACATAGAGATACGTAGAGACTCACGGAGATACGTAGAGACCCACGGAGATACGTAGAGACCCACTGAGATACGTAGAGACCCACTGAGATACGTAGAGACCCACTAAGATACGTAGAGACCCACGGAGATACCTAGAGACCCACAGAGATACGCAGAGACCCACAGAGATACGCAGAGACCCACAGAGATACGTAGAGACCCACAGAGATGCATAGAGACCCACAGAGATACAGAGAGACCCACAGAGATACATAGCGACCCACAGAGATACGTAGAGACCCACAGAGATACATAGAGACCCAAAGAGATGCATAGAGACCCACAGAGATACATAAAGACCCACAGAGATACGTAGAGACCCACAGAGATACGCAGAGACCCACAGAGATACGTAGAGACCCACAGAGATGCATAGAGACCCACAGAGATACAGAGAGACCCACAGAGATACATAGAGACCCACAGAGATACATAGAGACCCACAGAGATACATAGAGACCCAAAGAGATGCATAGAGACCCACAGAGATACATAAAGACCCACAGAGATACGTAGAGACCCACAGATATACGTAGAGACCCACAGAGATACGTAGAGACGCACAGAGATACATAGAGACCCACAGAGATACATAGAGACCCACAGAGATACGTAGAGACCCACAGAGATACGTAGAGACCCACAGAGATACGTAGAGACCCACAGAGATACGTAGAGACCCACAGAGATACATAGAGACCCACAGAGATACGTAGAGACCCACAAAGATACGTAGAGACCCACAGAGATACGTAGATACCCACAGAGATACGTAGAGACCCACAGAGATACGTAGAGACCCACAGAGATACGTAGAGACCCACAGAGATACGTAGAAACCTACAGAGATACACAGAGAGCCGGAGAGATGCATTAAAGACAAGCCAGAGTCGCGTGCGTGTCACAATTGCAACCAAATATCCCATGGCAGGGGCCACAGGTTTTATTGACCCTGGGTGGATGATCACGATGATTATGACGATGATGGCGACGGTGACACTGATGGTGAAGATGAAACTCATTGATGATGTTGAAACTGAAGTTATGATTATGATGAGACTCTAAATAATGCTGATGATGATATTGATGGTGATGCTGACTCATGATTATGATGATAATACTGATTTTAATTAAACTGATGATGTTGCTGCTGCTTTGACTGATGATATTAATGATACTGATGATGATATTGATACTGAAGGTAATGATATTTATACTGAAGATGATACTGATGATGATACTGATGGTGCCGACTCTTTATGGTGGTTGTGATGATGATGATGATGAGAATGACCACTCGTGATACTGGCCGGAGCGAAACGTCGGCCATCGTACAGCGCTTAGCGAACAACACAGCAAGGGGTGGGGATGGGGGGGGGTGAGTGAGAGAGAGACCCCGAAAAAGCCCGAGGCGGACCCTATGCAACAGATGAGTCGGTACGTCCTCGCGGTGAGTTGACGATTTAACATTCCGTCTCTCTCTCTCTCCGTCTCTCTCTCTTTACGTCTCTGTCTCTCTCTCTGCTTCTCTCTCTGCCTCTTTCTCTCTCCGTCTCTCTCTCTCTCTACGTCTCTGTCTCTCTCTCTGCTTCTCTCTCTGCCTCTCTCTCTGCCTCTCTCTCTCTCCGTCTCTCTCTCTCTACGTCTCTGTCTCTCTCTCTGCCTCTCTCTCTCTCTCCGTCTGTCTCTCTCCGTGTCTCGTTGCAGAGCCTTCGCCTGGAGGGACCGGCCCAAGTGAATGATGAAAAC